AAGAGGGGAAATAATACAGAAATGTCTTGTTCTTTGTGCATACATCTCTGCCAAGATCTAAAAGAGCCAGGCACGGTGGCTCCCGTCTGTAACCCTAGCTACTCAGGAGGTAGAGATTAGGAGGATCACAGTTCAAAGCCAACCCCAGTGAAATAGTTCGTGAGACCCTATCTCGAAAAAAATCCACCACAAAAAAGACTGGTGGGTGGCTCATGTGTAGGCTTTGAGTCAAGCCCCAGTACCACAAAAAAAAAGAAAAAAAAGGATCTTAAAGAAATGGGTAACTAGGTGGCTAGAGAATGCTTCAGAAATCTTGAAACGTGTGGATGCATGCATCACAAAGATATATATCTTTATCTTTATTTTTATATTAAGTATATTTCAAGAAAATATATAACAAAAATAAAAATCACAGAGCTGGTGGAGTGGCTCAAGTGGCAGAGTGCCTGCCTTGCAAGTATGAGGCCCTGAGTTCAAACCCCAGTATTGCAAAACAAAACAAAACAAACAAAAAAACAGACATCGTTTTTTTTAATTTGAAGAAAAGAAAATAGGAAGAAAACCATAAAGTCAGTAAAGATTTGCCTAGCTTCTCTGGAGTTGATCTTGGCAGTAACCAGAATGTCACTCCACACGTGGCTGAGATGATAGGCTCCTGGCTTTTGATGGGGGTCACGTAAGACACACAGGTGCCATTCTCTGTGTTCTTGCCCTTTTAAATCTTGTCTCAGCTCATGATTTCCCGGGTCTGATGTGGGAGGTGATAAGACTTTTATTATTTCTGATGGACATGGTCCCCAAGCCCTGCCCTTGGCAGCCATAGCAGGGTCACACCTTACACAGGACCACATAAAAAGGCACCATATCCTCTGAGAAGCAGCTCTGGCAGCACCAGCATCAGGACTGGCATCTTCCCGGGGCTGCAGGAGAGAAATGGAGGACATCATGGACACTCCAAGTGGTGAGTGGGTGGAACTGTGCAGCCAGCATCTTGGGCATCTGGGCACCTGACCCCCTCCAGCAAGCTCTTCCCCAGGCGGGCTTCCTAGGCCACTGCTCCCTCACCTGTGGCTGTGGGGTGATGCAGAGCTTGCTCTCTACCTTATTCGTGTAAGGGAAAACATCTCATTTAGGTCTAATTCCAGATTTATAAAATGATTGCAAGAATAATAGGAAAAATTCCCATGTGCCCTTTGTTCCAGTTCCCTAAATGCTGACCACACTTTTTTTTAATCTTCTGGATCAATCGTAGTCCTCTGTTTAGCAGGTTTGAAGCCTTGAGTTTAAACCCCAGTACTACCACCAACAACAAAAGTTCAACGGTAAGGTTTTTTCATTTGTTTGTTTTGCAGTACTGGGGTTTGAACTCAGGGCTTTGCACTTACTAGGCAGGCATTCTACCACTTGAGCCACTCCACCAGGCCTTTTTTGTGATGGATATTTTTTGAGATAGGGTCTCAAAAACTATTTGCCTGGGCTGGCTTCAAACCAATCCTCCTGATCTCTGCCTCCTGAGTAGCTAGGATTATAGGCATGAGCCACCAGCACCCTGCAAGACAGTTTTTTCAGAATGCATCTTTCCCTCTTTTTGTGGGAGTGTCACTCTTTGGCTGCCTTCACTGAAATTAAAGATGTACATGTCCTGTGACACAACACTTGTGCTTTGGAAGATTTCTTTTACAAATATCATCACACACAAATGTAAAATACACATGCACGGAAGTAATATGAAGGTTTGAAGCAATCTGTGCGCACCCAGAAGGACAGCAGCAACTACGGATCCACTTGAGTGTATAGAAACAAGTTTCAAGATATATAGGAGGTGGAGGAAGAGAGAGAGGGAGAGAAAGGTGCAAAATGACATGTTGAGAAACCTCCTGCTTGTGTAAATAAGTAAACAAGTATTTGTTTATGCAGAGAAAACTGCAGAGCTCCTCCGACATCTTAAGTGGTTGCCGCTGGAGAGGGATCTGGGAGCCTTGGGTAGACAGAATTCATTTTTGCCGTGGGCAGTTACTACTTGTTAATGTGCTTGTGATTCTTTTGAGTCCTAAAAAGAGAATTCATGTCCCTCATCCATCCTCCCTCCACAGCTGCTCAGCCATTCTCCATCTCCTTCCAGAATGTCCAGCCCAGGTCTCCTCATCTCTCAACTGCTCTGTCATATTTACATCTGTTTCTCTAGCCTGCATTATGGGTACCTGCTTCTAGTCTGTTTCCTACTTCATGATTCTCTTTTCAGCTGTGTCTGGGTGGTATCTAAACCTGTTCATGGAACTTTTTAATTTCAAGGACCATACTTTTATTTCTGGAAGTTTTTAGAAAATCTAACTAGTCAGTCTTAATAGTGGTTTATTCCTTTCCTATTTTTTATTCTGAGTGTCCCTAGCCATTTTTTATTTAACCTTCTTATGGTCTGTAGTATCTGATTTCTTGAGAGAGAATACTCACGTGGTTTTTGCTGAAACAGTAGATTGTTGTGTTTTAGAATTTTGGGCTGTAAGCTCATCATAAGTGTGACTATTTGGGAATACGATAAAACTCTGGTTGAGTGTTTTATCCTTCAAACAGGATAGATATTTGTGCCCTAAAGCAAGGAAAACTGTTTGGCCTGTTGGCCAAGGGCAGCTGTTTATTTTCCTTTCTCTGTTTGGATGATTCCAGACCTCTATAGGAAGAGGTGATGTCAGAATGTTTAACCACTAGTGTATGTTCAGTGGAGTTCCTGGCTCACAGCAGTGTGTAAGGAAACTCTGGGAGCACCTGCTAGTGCAAGTGGTGGTGGCCTCAAATGGTCAGATGGACATGGGAGGGCTTATAATTGTACTCATGGCTGTCAGTGGAGACAGATGGTAAGTCCTTGGAAAAGAATTCAGGGACTGGAGTTGTGGTTCAAGTGGTAGAGTGCCTGCCTAGCAAACGCGAGGCCCTACTTCAATCTCCAGTCTTGAGAATTCAGGGGCAGATACACAGAGGAATCTTTAACAGAACAGACTCATTTAAGCAAAAGCTAGATTTTGTTAAAGCAGAATTGATTATAAAGCAATAGTACACCCCCAAAGGAAAGTGAGGGCAGGCAGCTTGGCCATGCAGCCAAGTGCCTTGAGCCTCAAATTTTAGGCATTTTTTTGGATAGTGTTTAATGATTATGCTAAGTATATTATGTACATAATTGTGGAGTTTAAAAAAAATGAGAGGGCATCTTCAAGAACTGGGGAATGGAGAGTGCTTTACTTAAGTTTTCTTCAGAGCCAAGGTAGTGATTTGAAGGAAGGTGTGCATATGAAATCACAACCATAACGAGATGTCAGTGGAACCTCTGGCTTGCCTCTAGAGTTGGGAAAGTCCCTGTTGGAGTCGTTGCTGGGGATCATTGACTGTTGTAACAATAAGTAGCCTCAATCGTGGCAACTGTTAGGCCAGCAGGACAATAGCAGAACAGGATGTTTGGCGAAATGCAACCTGGCTCCATTGTTATTATTATTCCCTTTTTACCTGCCTGCCCCATATCAAAGTCTATGATTCATTACAGTGATAGGGTGCAATGAAAAATCAGCGAAGGGAGAAGGCCTGTGGGTGAGGCTTCCCAGGGTCTTCTCCAGCGGGGTGTCATGGGGGAATTTACTCTTCCCACAGAAAGTATGATGTGTGTGAAAAGCTGCTTGTCACAAAGCTCATTAGGGTTTAACTTACTAAGGGCTGGTCACACAGACACCTTCCATACAGCATGTGCCAACATTCCAAGCTCCAGAAAGAAACTGTGTATTTGGCACAAACTCTGTTGCTTGTACAAGTGAGGCTCGGTGAGTGTCTCTGACAGTGAGCGGGGTAGGCAGCTATTAAATGTACATTCCCAGACGCCAGCCCAGGGCCAGCCTCCAAGCAGGGCTTGCTAAGGAAAGCACCCTTGGGGCTAATGTGATAACTCCTCTGCAGAGCTTTGGCCAAGGATTCTGAACAGTAAAACTGTCATCAAGAGGCCCACACAGCAGGGATCAGCACCTGCAGGGCTGATCTGTTATGCTCCCCTTCCTTTTGCAGCACTACAGTGAACTCAGGGCCTCATCCTTGCTAGGCAGGTGCTCTACCATTTGAGCCATGCCTCAGCCCCATTTGTTGCCATTATTTCTCAGGTAGGAAATTCTTTTCTTGGGCTGGCCTGTACTCTGCTCTTCTTACTTACACCTCCTGAGTAGCTGGTTTTACAGATGAACACCACCAGCTTTTTGTTGAGATGGGATTTTGCTAACTTTTGCCTGGACTGGCCTTAAACTGGTCTCCCAATCTTTGCTCACAAGTAGCTGGGATTACAGGTATGAGCCACAAATGAAGTTGGAGTCTTATTTATTTATTTTGGCAGTATTAAGGTTTGAACTCAGAGCCTGTGTTTGTTAGGCAGGTGCTCTACTGCTTGAGCCATGCCCATCTGTTATCCCTGTAATCTGTCCTTTAGAAGGTCCCATTGACCGTAAGTCTTTCTTAGAATCCCAGATGGTTCCTCCTTCAGTCTCCATATGAGCCCTTTTTTTTTTTTTTCTTTTCTTTTCTTTTTTTTGTAACCTGTCATGGAGAGCAAGGCAGGCACTCTGGCCAGTAAATTGAAACAGATCTGACAGCCTCCCAAGGTTGGATCAATGTCAGGCCTACACAGGAATCACATCCAGAGGACACAAATCCAGAGTCTACAGTGGTTAGAGAATGTCTAGGGGTTGTTGGCCAGGTAGTTCAGGTCAACAGGACTCCACTGTGGTCTTCCACCATGGGAGGCTTTGGTCTAGATGGAGTAATTCAGTAAGGCCTTTGCTTCCAGGGCATCTGCCCAAGCAATAAGTTCCGAATAGTTTTGTTCCTCTGTGCCATGCCACCTTACCTGTGTGTGGGACACCTGTCAGTGTCCTGCAAGGAAAGTCTGAATGTGGAGGGACTGAGAATCCATTTTCCTGCTGAGTTCTGTCAATGGCTGGCTCTGGCTCCCACGGAGGAACTCTGCTGTTGGAGGAATGAGCAAGCCCTTCCACAGCGTCGCTACCCGCTTATGTGGTAAGGGTGCCCCTAGGCAGCAGTCCAGGAAGGGGAGAGCTGAGCAGGCAGTCCACTCCCAGGTGAGCAGGCAGTCCACTGCCAGATGAGCCTTCCCACCCTGGAGGAGCAGCCCAGGCCCTGTGATGGTGAGAGAGAGGGTTGGTGCTGGGAGCTGGCCAGTCCCCAGCCCATGAGCCTCTCCATCCACATCTACCTCCACATCCCCCAGGCACCCACTTACTAGAACAGACAACCCAGGTCCTTCCACAGGGTGAGGGTTCCACCTGTTGGGCAGCCCCCTGCACCTCACCCACAGGCCGCACTGGAGCTTTCTCACCCATGTTTCTCTGACATGAACTGCACCCCAGACTGACTGAATTTGGCCCGGCGATCTGTGCTCTATAGAGGCTGATGCTTTCAAAGACAGAACTCTGTCTGGTTTTTATTAGTCACTTGGAACAAGTAACTGCACACTTGGGCCATCTAGACTGCTTTGAGAGTGCAGAGGCTCAGGTCTGGTGATCAACCCAGAAGATTATGTCAGTAGATCTGACAGCTCCTAGATGATTCCAGCGGACACCAGGCCATCTGAAACTCACAGCCTGGGCTCCGGGCCTCCTTTGTGAGGGTGACTGGCAGTAGAGTAACAACCCAGGCAGAGGGACTTTTGTGACTGAATTGTGAATAATGGAAAGGAGGAAGGTTCCTAAGCTGAGGTAACAGGAAGAAATGTCATTCTAACAGAGACACATGATAAGAAATAGATGTTAAACAAAATTGTGTGTGTGTGTGTTTGCACCCAAGTGTGGAGTGAATTTATTTTCACTTTGGAATCTGAGGCAAAAATTTCCCTAATAGCCCAGTGTGGTGGCTCATATCTGTACCAGCTACTCGGGATGCAGCGATTGGGAGTATGCAGTTTGAGGCTAGCCCAGACAAAGCTAATGAAATCCTATCTCAAAAACAAACTGCGCGTGATGGTACGCACCTGAGGTCTCAGCTACTTGGGAGGTGGAGGTAGGAAGATCTCTGCCCAAGGCCAATCCTGTGAAAAAAGCAAGACCCTATCTGAAAAATGACTCAGGCGAAAAGGGCTTGGGGTGCAGATTAAGTGGTAGAATGCCTGTCTAGCAAGCACGAGGCCCTGAGTTCAATCCCCATTTCTGAAAAACAAACAAAGAAACCAAAAAACTATGACAATAATAAACCCCCCTCATAATAGAAGTGGCCCTGGCCAGTTTCCACTTCCATATCTGCAGGTGGTAGCTCATTTGCAGCCTGCCAAAGTCTGGGCTGACCAGGAAAGGGGAACAGTCCCAGCAGTTGTGGGTTCCCTTCCTCCTTTTCTCCAGCCTATAGTGATAATTAATGGAGAACCCACAACACCTAGACTCAGGTATGGTTCCTGTGGCCACGTCTGCAGAGAGGGGACACTGGGCAGGCAGTGGGGGCGCCACCTAATAGCTACCAACAGAAGTGCATTTGTCTCAGTTCAATCCCATGTAAGCCCACAAGGTAGGCACAGCAAGCCCATCATACAGGTGAGTAAACTGAGTCTCACAGAGACCCATGGCAGGTGCCCTCTCCACCTCACCACAGTGTCGGTTGGAACCCGGGAAGGATTAACAACAGCTTGTCTTTCTCTCCCCACATGCTGTGCTGCCCACAGAGCTGCAGGCTCTTAGAGTCGACCTCTTGCGGCAGGAGAACACCAAGGCACACCGCACAGACACCTTCCAGACCAACAAGCTGGTGGTACGACGCGGACAGGTGTTTCACCTGCGCCTGATGCTGAACAGGCCTTTGGGAGCCAAACAGCAACTGAAGCTGAAGTTCACCGTGGGTGAGGCCTTCGCTGGAGGGCACCATGTGGGTTCTGATCCCCTAGTGGCCGACACTCTCCCATCAGTCTGAGCCATGAGTGGCTTTGCCTCCCTGGCCTCAGTCTCCCCATCTGAAAAATGGGAATGATGAGGATTAGCATGCTAAGAGGATGGAATGGAAGGGTCAGTTTGGGTCCATTATGAGTGAGCATCCACAGGTGTTGCAATGCCTTGGCAACGCAGTGGAGATGGCTGGGGAGGGGCCAGAGCAGAGAGAGGAGACCACTTCACGGAACAGCTACTCTGGAACATTTCCTAGATGAGTCACAGGGCTGAGGTTTGCTGACACCATAACTGTGTGGGCTGGAGGCAAGTCAGTAATAGTGATTAAAAACACCACACTTTGGCCAGGCGTGGTAGTACACATCTGTAATTCTAGCACTCTGAAGGTAGAGGCAGGAGGATCACGAGTTTGAGGTCAACCTGGGCTACATAGCAAGACCTTGTCTCAAAAATAAGTAGACTAGTAAATAAAGCATTGAAATACAAAGAGAATAGGAAATGGCTCATCCATGTTCAGTCATAAGTACATAAATTCTGTTAGGGGGACAGAGAGGTATATGCTGCACCTGTGGCAGGTGGTCTGATAGTGGAGTGGAGTTTGCTTCTTTAATTTGTGTGTGTGTGTGTGTGTGTGTGTGTGTGTGTGGAACTGGGGCTTGAATTCAGGGCCTACACCTTGAGCCACTCCACGTGCCCTTTTTTTGATGGGTTTTATCGAGATAGGGTCTCATGAACTATTTGCCAGGCTGGCTTTGAACCTTGATCCTCCTGAGTAGCCAGGATTACAGGCGTGAGCCACAGGCACCTGGCTTTAATGTTGTTTTTAAGCTTTAAAAATAGTTGGAGTAGGGCTGGTGGAGTGGCTCAAGCAGTAAGAGCACCTATCTCTGAGTTTAAGCCCCAGTGAGGCCAAAAAAAAAAAAATAGATGGAGTACATCAGCTTCCCAAGAAAGAAGATGATACCACTTTCAGGGAAAGGGCTCCTTTTGAATCTTCACTCTTTCCTTTTTAACAGGGTTTGAACTCAGGGCCTCAAGCTAGGCAGATATTCTACCACTTGAGCCACATCTCCAGACTTTTTTGCTTTAGTTATTTTTCAGATAAAGTCTTGCACTTTTTTCCTGGGACTGTCTTGGATCGTGATCCTCCAATGCCTTCTGCGTAGCTGGGATCACAGACATGTGCTGTCATGCCGGGTTTGTTGGTTGAGATGAGAGTCTTGCTAACTTTTTACCCATGCTGGCCTTTAACTTTGATTCTCCCTATTTCTACCTCCTGAGTAACTGGGATTACAGGTGTGAGTCACTGTGCCTGGCTCAATTTTGTACCTTTTCTGAGTGAAGAGTAGGTGCGCTGGTATGGAGGTTGTCGTCTGCAGCCTTGATTACCCACAGACCACACATGGTTAAACAGTTCATGGAGCAGCTAGGGATGTGCATCAGGGGCCTGGATCCCTGGGGTGATCAGGGAAGGAGGCAAGGAACCTCACATAACTTGAGTGGACAATGAGACTTGGACAGTTTGCAACAGAGGGAGGCCTGGAGAGACAGGGGACAAAAGAGGAGCCTAGGGAGGAGAGGGGGGGGCTCAGTGAGTGGGCAGTGTCTGTAGGGCAGGGGACATCTCTTATAGATGACCATGGCCAATGTCAGGACTCATTTCCCTTTGGGTGTTTCCAGGGCCAAATCCTAGTGTCTCCAAGCACACTCTGGTGGAGCTCAACCTGAGGACATCTTCTCAGAGCTTTGGCTGGAAGGCGACCATTTCCAGTGATTCAGGCAAGGAGGTAAGAGCCCACGGAGCTAGGGTGCTGGCCCGCTGGCTTCTGGACCCATTCCTTGCCTAATCTGAGTAACCACTATCCCATTCCACTCCCCCCATTTGGTCACACTGCTTAAAACCAGTGGTACCATGCCTCCTCATGCCTCAGTTTCCCCCTTCACCCTCCCCAGAGCACACAGTAGCTCCAACTGTCACCAAACAGCCGCATTTCACGCCTTCCCTTTTTCATTTCAAAAGGGATGATGTTCTCTGGAGGAAACAAACAGAAAAGCAGATAAAAACCACCTACTATTCTACCAATTAAGTTAGCCTTCCTTCTTTCCAGGCTTTTTGCTATGTGGGTTTAAACTTAAAGATGGAGGCCTGCTGCCTCTCATATCACTCACTTTGTAAGACTTCATGAATGTTCCCTTTTTGTTTATTGTGTTGCCAACAAAAGAATTTTTCATGGTAGCTTTTGCTTGGGTGTGTGGGTTTGTGGTTGCTGATTTTATACCCTTTTGGGGGCATTGGCCTTTTACAGCTGTCTGGTCTTCCCAATATTGTGATCAGCCATGAGCCCATGGTTACTTCCTTGGGATAAACCCTAGTAGTTTCCTGGCTAGGTTAATTCCATGATGTTTAAAAATGGCAATGATGTTGGATTTTTTTAGAAGTAGAATTTGCAACTGGCAATGACATGAACAGGCTGGTGACTGACTGGAGTCAGTTGAGGTACTAGATTTGAACTCAGGGCCTTACACCTGCTAGGTGGGCACTCTACCACTGGAGCCATGCCTTCAGCCCTTTTTGATCAGTTATTTGATCAGGCCTGGACCACAATCCTCCTATTTTATGCTTCCTGCTGTAGCTGGGATGACAGGCATGCACCACCACACCCAGCTTTTTTCCCTGGGCATGGGGTCTTTTTTTTTTTTAATTATTATTTTATTCATAGTGCATACATTGTTTGGGTCATTTCTCCCACCTTCACCCCCCCACCGCCTTCCTTATCCCCTCTTACCCCTTGCTACCAGGCAGAAACTATTCTGCCCTTATCTCTAATTTTGTTGAAGATGGGCATGGGGTCTTGCTAACAACTTTTTTCCCATCCTCCAATCTCAGCTCCCAAGTAGCTAGTGCCCAACTTCAAGGACCCTTTTTTTTTTCCTCCTATCTCTCTCTACTGGCCAGATTCCAGATTCCCAGCCCCAATTCTGCAGGCGATCATGAGAATCTCCTGAGAAATCCTTTAAATCCATTTTCCTCCCATCTGGAAGCCTTGGTTTTTGTTGGGGGTCTAGAGTAGAAGTCAGCTCCAGAAGTGGGAATGGGATGGGGAAGGAGCTGCATTTCTTCTTTCAAAAGGCATGTTAAACATTTGTTTTAAATTTATTTTTAAAGGACACACATCGTAAACATCTGTCCAGTGGATTTTTACATAGAAACTTATTTGTGGGACCACCATTCATGTAGGCCAAGGTAGATAACATTACTCATCCTGGAGGCTGGTTTTCCTGTCTTCCTCCATAACAATGGCCAGGCAACTCATAGTGCTGGGGACTCACCAGTGAAGGTGGAATTATGGTCTGCCTTGCTGGGCATAGAGCTCTGCTGACTGTTGGGGAACAGGACATTGTTCCAGTGGCCTTGTTGGTGCCCAAGAACACCTTCCTCATAGGGCACAGACCCTCCTCATGGCGGCCAGATGCCACCATGGGATGGGGGGAAGGGCCCTTGTAGGGATTAAGTAGCCAGCCAAGATCATTCAGTAAGGTCATTCAGCTAGCAAGAGGTGGAGCAGGAATTTGAACTTAGAGCCTGTTTACTCCTAGGAGAGACCTTATTATAACAAACATTTAGCCAGGCATGGTGGTGCACAACTGTGATCCTTGCTACTTGGGAGGCAGGAGCATTTGGAGCCAAGACCCAGCTCAGACAAGACCCTATCTGAAAAGCAAAACGACATGGCTCAAGTGGATATTGCTTGCCTGGGTTCAATCCTCAGCAACACACACACTCTCTCTCTCTCTCTCTCTCTCTCTCTCTCTCTCTCTCTCTCTCTCAAAGCAGTTCACAGGTTTGGGGAATATCCAGATCAAGCAGAAGTGTTTTGTGACAATAGTGAGAATTATTATTATTGGCACTATTATAGCTATAGCAGTACCTATGCTTGCTAATTATCCATCCAGCCATTATCTGTCTTAAAGGGTGGATAGAGGGGTGCCTTGGACAGATGGCCTGAGGCTCTGAAGTGCTGAAGATGGAACCTAGGGTCTTGTGCATGCTGGGCAAGCTCTACCACTAAGCTACACCCCAAGCCCTGAGGAAGGGCTTTTACTGCTGAGAGCAAGCAGACATTTTGTCTGCCCCATGAAGACCCAGGCACAGGGCCAGATACCTTAGGAGGTTTCATCACAGGATCAGCCAGGTACCTGGAGGTGGTGACATCTCCTGGCTGCCGTGGAGGGAGCAAAAATACCTGCCGAGCTCAGAACCCAAGTCTGCCTACAGCCATGGCAGGACTTGCTGAACCTTCTGGCTTTGTGGGGCTGCTTCCCTGTCTTGTGTGTCCTGCCCAGCTGTCCAGTGGCCTCACCACTCCTGTCTAGATAAGATGGTTTGTTAGAGCTACGGATTCTTCTAGGAGTTAGGGTCTGGCCAGAGGGAGAGGTGCCCACCTTGTGTTGTGCTTCACTCAGATCACAGTGGCCATCACCAGTGCCCCCAATGCCATCGTGGGCCAGTACAACCTGATCGTGAAGAGTGGAATCCACACCTTTAAGGCTGATGACAACTTTTACCTTCTCTTCAACCCCTGGTGTCCAGGTAACATGAAACACAGGTATGCTGGGGAATGTGGGGTGCCCCCGCAGGACTTGGGGGACAAAACAAGAAGCTATGCAGTCTGCGAACTTGGCTTGCTCTCAAGGCTTTTGCAAATTAGTGGAAGGAACATGATCCAGGAATGGGTGACAGACACATCTGGAATATCCTCTTTGTGGCTTAACCCTTTCCCCACTTTCCCTGACCCACTGCAGCAGGCCTCTGCTGCCAGCACTGCACAGAATCTGCACTTGGCGGACTGCTGGGTGCCACCAGTGACTTCTTCCTCCTCAACCCCAGGGGTGGGGCTGAGTCCTGACAGGTGGCTCTTCCCATCTGCAAACTCTGCTTTTTTAACCCTCTCTTCTCTCCTTTCTCCTCTGATCAACTTGTTCCTTCTGTGGACACCCTGGAGCCTTTATACAAATGTCACTTTTAAGGCTCTTTCTGTCATCAACAGCCTCTCTCCACATCAAATGCAGGCTCTGTACTGATTCTTTTCGCACCTGCCCCTCATCCTGCAGCCTTCTTGAAGTTAGAAACCATCAAGTGCTGGAGCTGGAGGTCAGGGAGCTCCTTTCTTAAACTTTGTATTGGAAATTATTTCCAGCTAACAGAAAAGTGGCAAAAAAATGATACAAAGAACCCCCACAAGCCTTTATCCAGAGCACCTGCTAACATTTTTTCCCATGGTTCCATCATTTTCTGTCTCCCGTTTTTTTCCATCCTCCCCTACACACTTATTTTTTGAACCATTTGAGAGTAGGTTACATAGAACATAGTTTTGTTTTTTCTTTTGTTTTTGGTAGGACTGGGGTCTGAATTTAGGATTTTGTGCTTGCAAAGAAGGTGCTCTATCACTTGAGCCATACCTCCAGTCCATTTTGCTCTGGTTATTTTGGAAATGGGGTCTTGAGAACTATTTGCCCAGGCTGGCGTCGAACCATGATCCTCCTGATCTCAGCCTCCCAATTAGCTAGGATTATAGGTGGGAGCCACCGGTACCCGGCAACATTGACATTTTAGAGGAATAGGTTTCTCCTTTTCTTAACAGAAAAGGCATCATGTGGGGTTTGTTTGGTGACCCATTATCTTTAGATTCAAGTCATGCATGATTGGCTGGAATATTATGTAAGTGATATCAAAAGTCTGTTTTGGAAAATCGTATCTAGAGGCACACAATGTTTGGCTACCTATCCTGCATTGGAGATGTTAAATGTGATTTAGGCATTGTCTCATTTTTATGCTATATCATAACTATTTTTTATGTATAGTTAATAAGTAGCCTATGTGGCAATTCTTTATGACCATAGAAATGTCCTGCACCTCATCAGAATGTCCCATCTCTAGACTGAGCAGCCACTGACAGTTGCTGCCAGGACCAATTGCTCTTCACTATAATGGTTGCACAGTGATTTTCCAGCTGCAGCCCCCATCCAGACTCATCTGCTGGCCTCTGGCATTTTCTTGCAAGCAGAGCTCTCCATTCATATCTGTCATCCATCCATCTATCCATTCATCCATCATCCATCCATTCATCCATCATCCATCCATTCATCCATCCACCTCTATGGACTTAAGGATTCAATCTTTTTTTTGGTGGCTTACAATTCAAGCTTGCTGCTGATTATGTTTGTGTTCACATTTTCCCAGATTTTTTCACTGAAAGTTCCTTACACTTGGCTCCGGATGTTCTTTTGAAAGTTCTTTGTATTGTCAATACAAAATGTATGGCTATGAACCGCCCCTGCCTCCCCACACACATACCATCTAGCTCCCTTCCTCCCCCAACCTCCCCCAACCCAGGCAATCCCTTGTGGCAGACTTGCCTCTGTCCCAGGGGTTGATAGTGACACACACACACACACATGGGTCTTGCTGCAGAGGACCTGGTTTTCTTGTCTTCGGAGGAGGAACGAGCAGAGTACATCCTCAACGACACAGGCTACATCTACATGGGTTTTTTCAAACACATCAGAGGAAAACCCTGGAACTTCGGTCAGGTAACGATTTCTCATCCTTGGCTGGACCAGGCCCTATCTGATAGACACCCCACCCCCTTTTACCTAAGGAATAATGAGTAAAGGTTGTGGAGAAAAGTGGGTGAGTCTCAGGACCAATGCCAGTCTCGTGTGTGAAACTGGGTCTGAGACAGGATAAGCTCCCCAGGCCCTGTAGAGGGGTGGAGGGATCTGAGCCACAGGCTCCTTCCCCAGGGCCCATCCCCCACTTCCCAGTGCATCACGCCAAGAACTAAGCACTCAATAGTTATTTACAGTGGCTGTTGTGTAGACAAAGGATTTCTAAAGCTGGAGAAGAGAGGGTTTTTTTTGTTTTTTGCGGTACTGGGGTTTGAACTTGGCCTGCACCTTGAACCACTCCACCAGCCCTTTTTTGTGATGGGTTTTTTAACGTAGGGTCTCATGAACTATTTACCCCAGGCTGCCTTTGAACCGTGGTCCTCCTGATCTCTGCCTCCTGAGTAGCTAGGATTACAGACGTGAGTCACTGTTACATGGCTGGAAGGAGAGTTTTTAGAAGACTTGGGTGTGGAGGCCTCCTCTGAGTAGAAGGAGAACTGTCTTCATGCAGCCATGAGGCAGAGCAACCATGTGGAAAGATGCAGGGCTGGCCATGGCATGAGGATTCATGGCACCAGCTTCCTCCCACATAGATTTTACAACAAAAAAACCTCTGGAAAATGCCAAGCCCTATACAACTGCTTAAAGTTTCCCCTTCTCTCCCTGGGTCTGCCTACCAAGGATAAGACAGAAGTGGAACAGTGGAGAAGGGACTCACAGTCAGTGAGGGCTCCACCCTCCCCATCCCTGGAGGGGCCACCTTGCAGATGAGGCTGTGGAGGAAAATGAAAGAGGAGGGTGGAAGTGGAAGTGGGGTAGGGATGCAGTGGTCAACAGACAAGGAAACTGCCAAGATAAAGACCCTGGGAGGGGTGGAGAAGAGGACTTTCCTGAATCCTAGGTTGCTGCTCCTCTTAGAAAATCAAGGGGTAACTAAGAACATTCTGGAGAATGAATATTGTTATTTACTCCTTTTATTTTGCAGTCTATCCCCTCAGATTACAAATTAGTAATCCAAAATTATTAATTAATTAATTCAAAACCATTGAAGTGTCCAATTTATAAGGTAGGTTGTATGGGATGTAAATTATATCATGATAAAGTAATTTAAAATAACTATAACTTAAAAGTAACATATGCTCATCATAAAAACCAGGAACTATAGCAACGTGGAGGACAAGTGAGATCATTCACAGCCTCCTTCACATTTTAGGGATTTCCTTCCTTTTTGTTACTGACGCTAACATAGTTGTGTCTCAACATGATTGGGCCTGTTCATTTATTTAACTCTACTACAGAGGAATTTGTCCTATTGCAGGAAAACTGCATACTTCTTTTTGGGGGGTGGCAGTGGTACTGGAGTTTGAGCCACACCTCCAAGCCCTTTTTTGCTTTAGTTATTTTTCACATAGGGTCTTGCGTGAGCAGCCTTGGACTGCAATTCTCCTACTTATGCCTCCCACGTAGCTGGTATGACAGGTGTGCACCATTGCGCCGGGCTTGTTTGTTGAGGGGGGTTCTTGATAACTTTTTTGCCTGGGCTGACATCAAACCTCAGTCCTCCTGATCTTCACCTCCCAAGTAGCTAAGGTAACGACATGAGCTACCACTGGCCCCATGCACTTTAATGGCTGTGGCCTGTAAGTCTGTAGATGTACTTGACTCTTGCCTGTGTCCGGATATTTAAGTGGCGCCTAGTTTGCAATGCTCCAAGGAGTCCTTGGGAGACTGTAGGCTTGTTTCTCTGCCCGGGGAGATGGGTTACCCACAAGGAGTCTGTGGTGTGCACATTAGATGGTGCGTGTTAAGTTTCTGACACAGGGCAAACCATTAACCGCTTCTTTCTTCCCTTCCCAAAATAGTTTGAGAAAAATATTCTGAGTTGCAGCATTTTCTTGTTGGGCGAGAGCTACCTCAAGATGACAGAGATGAGGGACCCTGTGCTGGTGGCCAGAACCATGTGTGCTATGGTAGGTGCGGGGCCTGGGCTCCGTGGAAGAGGGTCCACCCAAGTCTGGAGAGGAATTTTGACCTGTCTGACGCTGTCGTGTTCCAGCAGCGATCTTAGCAGTTGTTCGGTTTCCCCAGCTGGGCTGTGAGTGCTCCTGAGGTGTGCACCAGGGGGCCCTGGCCAATCAGGTGAAAACCATCAAGGATATACTTTTACCAAGGTCTGTTCTGAGTGCAGGTTCTCACATCAGACCTGAATTCAGAACCCCAGCCTCGCCTCTTCTGGGCTGACCTTAGGGAAATGGCTTTGTTTCTCTGAGCCTCAGTTTCCCCATCTGCAAAACAGTATAACTAAGGCTCTTTTCCTACCTGCAAGCCAGACTCCCTAGAATGAGCACATGGGTCCAGGACTTTCCTCGTTCAGCACCATGAACACTGCCCCAGGAAACCCTCTGTCCTAGGCAGATAGGCTGGCCGGTCACCCCCATCTGCCTGGCCATTGGAAATCAGTTTGCCCAGAGCACTTTGCTCTTGGGACCTCTTTCTGCTGTTAAAAATTACCAAGGACCCCAAATACCTCTATGTGCTTGTGTTTATGAATATTTCCTGTATTAGAAATTAAAATTAAAATTTAATTTAAAATTAAAATTTTTAAAAATTAAAAAATATTTATTTCTTCTAAAAGAATGATAATGTTAACATAATGTATTTTTGTTAAAATTTTTTGAGACATAAAACATGTAGTGAGAAGAGTAGCTTTCTTTTTTACTTTTTTCCCCACTTAGGGCCATATTGGGGTTTGAACCCAGGGCTTCACACTCGTTGGGCAGGTGCTTTACCACTTGAACCACACCCCAACTCTTTTTTGCTTTAGTTATTTTTCAGCTAAGGTCTTGCGTTTTTGCAGGGCCAGTTGTATATGGCAGTCTTCCTACTTGTACTTCTTGTGTAGCTGGGGTCACAGGCACACACCACCATGCCTCACTTGTTAGTTGAGATGGGGTCTTGATAACTTCTTGTCCAGGCTGCCCTTGAACTGTGAGCCTCCTGATCTCCACCTCTGAAGTAGCTAGGATTACAGGCATGAGCCAACACACCAGGCTTGTTTTTATGAGACAGGGTCTCTCTGTTGGAGCTCAGACTGGCCTGGAACTCACTATCCTGCCTCTGCCTCCTGAGTGCTGGGATTACAGGTGTGTACCACCATGCCCAGGCTCATTGGTTTACATTTTGGCAAAACTTCTTAATGTCTGGCTTAATAGACTTTTTGACTTGTGTTGAGGTACATTGTTTTAGTTGAAATATAGGAAAAAAATGTGCCTCACATAGACACCTAGATGAAAAAGGCAGGAATATTTGCATAGGCTGTCAGGTAGTGGTAGATACTCTGCCTTTTTCTATGCCCACGCTCAGTGAAGGCAGTTTCTATTCTTTTTGTCTGCTTGTTTGTTTTGGTACTGGGGTTTGAACTTGGGGCCTCACACTTAGTAGTCGGGCGTTCTATCACTTGAGCCACTCCACCAGCCTGAATGGTAGTTTCTAGAAGTTGGTTTCAATGTGGAATGTGAAGCCACAGACATTTTCATCCTTTGTGGACTTACGCAAACATGAGAATGAAAATGGCAAATGTCCCCTTGGGATTATTATGCAAATCATTTCACTCACAGCCCTGGGACTCCCAGGACTCTCCCTGGGCCACTGAGGACTGCTCTTTACTGGCCCATGGAGACTTTTGTCAAGTGGCTGCTCTTGCTGTGTGTGGTGGTGGTGAGGACTATTCACGACCTGGTGAATCTGTGAACTGAAAGTTTTCTGGGGGAGGGGAGCTCTCCAAATGTCCTCCTCATGGGCTGCTGTGAGCATGTGCCCTGCACGTGTAGGGTACTTCACAGATGGTTGGGGCTCCTGTTCTTCTATGCATGCAAGGCGGTCCCAAGTCAGTGGCTTTTTTTTGACTAGGGTCATCCTCCTACCAAGATCCTCTTACCTATGCCTCCTTCATAGCTGGGATTGCAGAAGCACAGCACCACACCTGGTGAAATTGTGCTATTTGCAAGGCATAATGGAGTTTGCAAAAAATGTCAATGTATAGGCCAGGAGAAGGTGGGTATGCCCCAACATGGCTACCAGTTCAAGGAACTGTGACTGTTATCTTTGTTAGTGTTTTCAGCAGCTCCTCTTTGCCTGTGTATATGTACAATCTTTTTTAGAGATTACACTGAAAATTTAAATCAGGGTCCTTTGCTAATTTATTGATTTTTGGGGGGGGTTGGGTATTAAACCCAGGTCCTCATGCATGCTAGGCAAGTGCCCTACCCCTGCGCTCTACCCCAGCCATAACTTACTGATTTTTAATTATAGAGCATCACCCACATGCCAAGGCACTGTGGTAAATGTTTTAAGAAACGCTGTCATGTGGCTTTTCCTTCTCTGGCTTTAAGAGAGTAGAAGGAATTGTCTGGTCAGAATTCCTCAGAGGTTGATAATTAATTTAAAAGAATGGAAGATGACAAAACTAGCATAGGCTTTAATCCAGGTGCCTCTGAAAGCAGCCCTATAGAGAGGTGCTGTAATGATCACCGTCTTCAAAGGAGGAAACTGAGGCATAAGCAGGGAGCATCTGCTCCAGGCCGCAGCAGGCTTTTCTCTTGGTGGTACACCCTGACCCCTGCCCTTCCTGCATGCCAGGTGAGCTCTGCGAATCGCAAAGGCGTGCTCACAGGGAACTGGTCAGGAAACTACTCAGGGGGCACGGCCCCGACTGACTGGACCAGCAGTGTCAGCATCCTGCAAGAGTACTACAGAACCAAGAAGTCCGTGAACTACGGCCAGTGCTGGGTGTTCTCGGGAATCCTCACCACAGGTAGGTGGAGGCCAGGGGCTGGGGGATGGGTACCGAGGGGGAGGCCCCATGGTAGCTGCTTAGTCCACCTGGGCCCATTTTAGTGCTGAGAGCCCTGGGCATCCCGGCGCGTAGCGTGACGGCCTTTGAGTCAGCCCATGACACAGAGAAGAACCTCACGGTGGACATCTACCTGAACGAGATGGGCAAGACCATCAGCAGTATGACCAAAGACTCCGTCTGGTAGGCTCTCCTCGTCTTGCCCCACATCCCTCTCCCAGGAGTTTTCTAGCTGGAATCCACCCCATGTAGGCCGCCAGTTTTCAAAGTTTAGCCTCAGCCTGAACCTGTCCCCGCTAGGAAGGCAGATTCATTGACCGGAGCCTTTGTGCATAAAGGTGAAGGCCGAAAATCGGCACTTGAATCCTAGCAAGTACACACTGCTGCCTGAAGCCCTTGCTGTAACTGCATCGAGGCAGCCTGGAGCTGTTTCCTTTGCTCTCTGACCCACAGCACAGAGGCCTTGGGGAGGCAGGCAGATCAGGCAGGACCATAAACACCGAGGTGTTCTAATTGAAGTTGGGGTCAGGCAAGTATGCCTCTTTTCATGGGGGTGGGGAGGTGACTGGGGTTTGAACTCATGGACTTGTGCTTGCTAGGTAGGCACTTTACCATGAGAGCCACATCCACCGCACTTTTTACTTTTAGTTATTTTTCAGATATGTTTTTGCCTGGGCTGTCTGGTCTTAAACCTCTATCGTCCTGGCTCTACCTCCCCAGTAGATAGAACCACAGGCATGTACCATCACACCTGTCTTGTTTTTAAGATAGGGTCTCATTAACATTTGCCCAAGTTGGCCTCAAACCTGGATCCTCCTAATCTCTGTCTTTTGAGTAGCGAATTTTAGGCTATACGTACTCAGGCGTCTTACAGCTTTTATTCAAATGTTGCTGTGAAGTTCTAGTTTGTATTCCAAGATAAGGTTAAAAAAAAAAAAACAGCTTTGAAACTATCAGAAAAGAGGCACCAAAACTGTATTATTGCACATGATACAATTGTCTATCTAAAAACCAAGAGAATCAACTTAAAAATAGCAAGAATTAATATGAGTGTTCCAAGATTGGCCAATTACAAAATTACCAATTAACAAAATCAGGATCCCAGCGAGGGGTAGTCTATAGCCCAGAAAAGGATTACAACTGTTCATTCATTCAGCAACTGTTCATTAGGTGTCTGTTCTGCTCAAACACTGAAGTCACCCAGACAAGATATCCTGCCTTTAGTTCACTGCATCTGTGGTGACAACTCTGGGGCTCTTTGGGGACCTCAAGCACGACCAGGGTTGATGAGCTGCTGCCCCACTCAATCGTACTCAGCTCTGTCCCCAGAGAGGCTTTCTAGGTGGAACTCAGTGACGGTAAAGGCTCCAACCCCGGCAAACAACCTCACTGGGTACCTGGCAATGCCAAGGTCTCCGTTAATTTTCTTGTGTGGCTGGGCTCCGGTGGGCTCTGTTTCTAACCTGCCACAGGAATTTCCACGTGTGGACCGATGCCTGGATGAAGCGACCAGATCTGCCCCAGGGCAATGATGGCTGGCAGGCGCTGGACGGCACTCCTCAAGAGATCAGCCAAGGTGAGCAGGACAGGGGAGGGCACACTGTCCATGTGTGGCCCTCTGACACAGCCGCTCCAAGAGCTGCCCAGTCACTGCTCTATCACTGGGTGGCCCTTCAGTTTGTAGACGACTTTATAAAGAGGATGCTAATATTCACCCTGGTAACAGTAATGAGCGATCTCCGCCTTGTACAAGGGGGTGCTGTGCTTTGAACTCAGGGCCTTGTGCTTGCGCTTGCTAGGCAGATGCTCTGCCACTTAAGCCACTCCCCCAGCCTTTTTTGTTTTACTTATTTTTCAGGAAGGGTCTCACACTTTTGCCTGGGTCGGCCTTAGACCGTGACCCTCCTACCTCTGTCTCCTGTGTAGCTGGGATCACAGGTCAAACTTTTTTTTTTTTTAAAACAAAGCCTTCAGAAGGAAATTGTAGGTGGTCCCTCGTTCTGTAAAAGCAGAACCTCTCCAGCTGAAGGGTGGCTGGGGACCAGGCTGCCCTGGCTCCCTGATCCCCCAGCTCTTCTCAGACAGCCCCTCAGGTACCTTGGCCTTCATGGGCACTGGGCAGATCCATGGAGTAGCAGCCTTCAGAGCTCCTTGGAGAGCAAGACTATTGGCTGTGAACCTTGTCCTGGGGGAGGAACACACACCTGCCCAGAGCTGAAAGAGCGAACAGGGTGAATGTGGGAAGGAGGGATCCAGAGATAGGAGCGTGCAGGACCCCAAAGGCACTCAGATTCAAATTTAAAGATTCTCTGTGGCCCCAAACCCCTCAGTGCAGGACCTTTGGATCTTCCAGCTCCAGTGGGAGCCCACGTGGCCCTGGAGACATGGGTGCTGCTATTCTAGTGGCACTGGCTCTGGAGTTTCTGCAGGAATCAGGCATTGCCCTACAGTGGGGTGAGAGGAAGGGGCTGGGGACACCCCTACCCATTCTGCTGAAAGAGGTTTCCAGGCTCATCCCATCCAGGGGCACCCAGCAGTTTCTGCCAAGGTGGGGACAGTAGCCATGGCAACCTGGCAGTGAGTCTATCTTGTCTTGAGAGGCAGAGGAAGCCCTGATTCCTGGCCAGAAAGGGGACTGAGGAGCCACCTAAGCCACTCACTTTGTAGGTAAAGCTGGAGAGGCAGAGAGTGAGGATGCCCAGGGCAATCAACAGGTTAGGAACATGGCCCAGTTCTCCTGCATCCAGCCCTTCACCACACTGCATTCACAGCTTTGCTTGCTTAAAAGGGGCAAGGGAGAAGGGTCTTGTGTATTGAGGATATAATAACATCATGAAGGAGGCAAACCCAATGCCTGGAATTCAAAAGTATGTAAAAACTGAAATTACCTCTGAGGAATGGTGAGGCGAGAGGCTAATTCTCACTAAGTTGTCAATGACTGATAAGACCTCGCTATGCATGTCAGAAATTTGGAAGAAATTATCAGCTTAAGATCAGCAGCAACAGCTCACATTTGTCCCAGGCTAAGTATAGTGCTAAAAACTGTATGTGAAACATTTAATCTTCACTCACAGTAGCCTCATGAGGCAAGTGTTTTATCCCCAGTGTTCCAGGAAATGGAGGTAAAAAGAGGCAAGTGACTTGTTTAAGGTCACACAGCTTCTAGATTGGAAGCAAGGGATCAGACCCAAATGGTGTGAGTCTCCTGTGCTGGGATGACTTCCCACGACTGGGCTGGAGCTTTCCAGAACGCTCTTTGAGCCAAAGCTGAGATGTGCCCTTAACTTCTGCTGAACAATTGAGGCTGCCTCCCGGGCTGCCTTGCTGCCAGCTCTGCTTGGTCTAGGGTTCATTGCTGTCACAGTGATGTGCTCAGGGGTGGTTATTATTGGGCAGGGAAGGCACTGGAGACCCAGCCCAATCTAGACAGGGTGGCCAGGGAACCCAGAGCCATGGTCTCTTCCCTTGCCCTCAGGGATCTTCCGCTGCGGGCCTTCACCTCTGTCTGCCATCCGCAAAGGCAATGTGTTCCTCGGGTATGATACCAAGTTCATCTTCACTGAAGTAAATGGCGACAAACTCATCTGGCTGGTGCGGGGGGCGACTGGGGACGAGAAGTTCACCATCATCGCCGTGGAGACGGGCAGCATCGGGAAGAACATCAGCACCAAGGCAGTGGGCCAGGACCGGCGCCACGACATCACCTACCAGTACAAGTACCCGGAAGGTAGGTGCACAGCCCAAGTGTGACAGTGTTTGGCAGACGTTTTAGGCTTTGTGGGCTGTGCAGTCCCTGCCAGAGTCCCGGGCTCTGCTGTGGGAGTGCTAAAAAGGCCCAAGGCGATGTGTAGATGAGTGAAACCTTATGTATGGACATGGGCGGCGGGGTGGGTTTGGCTGTTGGCCATAGTGTGTTGACTCAGAGTCAAGCCCACCATAAGGGTGCTCAAGACTGCAGTACTGAGCCACACCTGATGACTCATGCCTGAGTCCCAGCTACTCAGGAGTTGGAGATTGGAAGGATCATGTTCAAGGCTAGCCAGGGCAAAAGGTTAGCTTGGCCCATCTCCATCAACAGCTGGGTGTGGTGGAGCCCACCTGTCATGCCAGCTATATGGGAGCTACATATGAGGGCCCCAGTCCAATCTGGGCTGGTATGGGCATAAACATGAGATCCTATGAAAAATAGCCAAAGCAAAAAGGGCTGGTGGTGTGGCTCAAGGGATAGGGTGCCTGCCTAGCAAGTGAAAGGCCCTGAGTTCAACCCTCATTACTGCCAAAAAAATTTTTAAAAGAATGGCAGTATGGATTTTTATTACTAGTTATCATTTATCCCTGATGGCCACCGTTACTATTAACCATTGTTTGATGTTGCTACTATTAACTAGTAGTCACAGCAGCTATATAGTATTGACTGAGCATTTGTCACGGGCCATCTCCATGCTGACCACATCCTGTCCCTCAGCTCCAAGTGCTACACTAGTCTGTAGTCTAATTCATGTTTTAGGGAGGGAGTACTGGGGCTCAGAGATGTTGAGTGACTTGTCCAAGCTCACCTAGCTTCTAAGTGGCCAAGTTGGGTTTGGAAGTGAGGGCTCTCTGACTCCTGAGTCCTCTCCTGATTCTCCTTAGGTCCTGGCCTGAACCAGGGGCTTTTCTAGAGGTCTGGCCTGTGGGGAGGCGGACACATGTTGGCAGGCAGTAGCTGTGACTCTTGGCTTTTGGTGCTACAGGAGGCACCATTCCCTGCACCTGGGCCTCAGGAGAAGAAAGAGCAGGCAGATTCCAGGGTGAAGTCATCCAGTGTGGAGTGGACCATGCTTGAGGGAGAGGTGGTGAGAAGAGATAGGGCACAAGATGTGACCTGGGTGTTTCCCTTATTCTGATGGTCACCTCATTCTCCCTTTGAATGGGCCCCTTGATCCCACTCATCCTGGTTGGGTGCTAGGCTTACTGTGGATGGCCAGGTCCTCTACCACATTGGTAGGCAGCCGTCCCGTCCCCAGGGCTTCCCCTTCTCCCGAGCCCCCCGACTCTGCAGCTGCAAGCATAAAGACCTGGCTGCCTGCAGGGCTCACACCAGTTCTCTCTGTCAGTCCTTCTGTAAGTAGGGCTGAAGGGGCAAGAGTGGCTTATCTCTCTGTTTAAACACAGCCTCGTTGAGCAAGGTGCCAGTGGCTCACTCCTGTATCCTAGCTACTCAGGAGGCAGAGATCAGGAGGATCGCAGTTTGAAGCCAGACTGGACAAACAGTTCCTGAGACCCTATCTCAAAAATTCCCAACACAAAAAGGACTGGTGAAGTGGCTCAAGTGGTAGAGTGCCTGCCTAGCAAGCATGACGCCCAGAGTTCAAACCCCAGTTTTTTTTGATGACAAAAAAACCGGACAACCTCATTGAGCTCTGCACTGTGTGACCAACCACTCACCTGGCTAAGATGCTCCATGTTGCACGGTGCCCAGGGCTCATCCAAGCCTTCTGGGCCTTGCTGAGTTGGCCTCCATTCTCTTCCTGATCCATGTCCCTGCCATGAACATGGTGCCCTAAAATAGCTGGCTGGCTGTCCTTCAGACATCTGTTTGTGTTCCTCTCCTGGAACTTTTCCCTGTAGTCTCTCCATCATCTCTACGCTCCTGCAGCTCAAACCCTTGAGCTGACCGTGAGCTGGTGTAGAACATTGGGTTCCTAGGCCCTCTGAAAACACTTTTTGTGGTACTGGGGTTTGAACTCAGGGCCCTGTGCTTGCTAGGCAGGTGCTCTACTGCTTGAGCCATGCCCACAGCCCAGTAAATGCTTCTTGAAGGAAGAATTCAGCAACAGCTTCGCAGGACAAAACTGGAGCCTTGCACTCTGGAGACTGTTCAGAGCAGAAATGTATGGGAAGTTTTGACTTTGAGATTGGAAATCTGTGTAACGGCTGCTGTAACTTTAATGAAGCCCTCTTCCTGAATTTGTCTTGAAAATGAGCAAATTGGATTAAAAGGGATCAGGCTAGGAGGAATCTTAAAAAAAAAGCAGGGCAAGGGCTATGTCAGGGAAGGGAGGAGAGGGAGACAATTTGTTATCTGTGATTATGTTTTTGGGGTCTTGTAGGCTCTACTTGTTTTTCCTCATTCTTTTTCCTTTTTTGTCTCTCAGACTGGATAATCTCAGTTGACCTATCTTCAAATTTGCTGAGTCTTGTGAGTTCTAGGCCAGCCTGGACTATATAGCGAGACCTTGTCTCAAAACAAAACCAAGGTGGGCACTGGTGGCTCAGGCTTGTAATCCTAGCTACTCAGGAGTCAGAGATCAGGAGGATCGTGGTTCAAAACCAGCCCAGGCAAATAGTTTGCAAGACCTTATCTTGAAAAACCCTTCATAACAATAGGGCTGGTGGAGTGGCTCAAGGTGAAGGTTCCGAGTTCAAGCCCTAGTACTGTAAAAAACAACAACAAAACCAAAACCAAACCTCCCAAATAAAATAAAACTGAACAAAATTGCTGATTCTTTCTTCAGTAAGTTCTAAGCAGCTATTATTGTACATTTTAACTCCAAAATTTCTATTTTTAAAAATAATTGTAATCTCGTTACTGGTATTCTCTTTTTGGTGAGCCCCTGTTCTTATTTGTCCCTTTAGTTCTTTGAATATGTTTAAATTAGCTGTATTAAAGTCTTTGTCTAGCACATCCCGTGTCTAGGCTTCCTCAGGAATAGTTTCTTTTTTTGGTGGCACTGGGGTTTGAACTCAGGGACTCACACTTGCTAGACAGGTGCTATACCATTTGAGCCATGCCCCTAGCCCCTCAAGGAAGAGTTTCTATTGACTGTTTTTTTCTCTTCTGTGTATTGGCCATACATTCTTGTTTCTTTGCATGTCTTATGATTTTTGGTTAAAAAATGGTACAATTTAGAGGATGCAATGTGGCGACTCTGGAAATCAGAGCCTGACTCGCACCCCAGGTTTGTTGTTTGTTTTGCTTTGTGATTTCCCTGATCTATTCTGTGAAGTTTGTATTCTTTGCTGGCTGTGCATGGCCACAAAGTTGGCTCAGTTTGTGTCGTGGTCAGCTAATGCCTGTACTAAGATTTCCTTAACTGCCTCAGACCAGTAAGTCTACTGGTTTTGACGAAGGGCCCCTGTGTACAAGTTGGGGTCCACACTCCATGCTGTGTCAGGCAATTAACAGCTCTGCGTTAGCCTTCACTTCCTGCTTGTGAGGTCAGTGGAGGTGAGGGCTTCCGACCCTCTCTAGTCTTCTCAGCCCTACATTCCCAGGGTCCTGTCTGAGCTTTTGAGCCTTTCTTTGTGGACACTGAATTCCTTAGCTTGTCTTTTAAAGTGTTTCCTTCCTTCCTCCCTCCCTCCCTCTCTTCCTCCCTCCCTCCCTTCTCTCTCTCCCTTTCTCTGTCAGCTTCTTTTCCCTCAGCTATTATTGTTGTCTAGGCAGCTGTGATGTTAATTCTTTACTAGTTTTTATTTTTATTTTTTAAACAGATGCCCCCAGGGAAAATGCTGTTTGTCAGGTCAAATAAAGATAAGCTTTGTTTTCTCTCATTTGTGGAAGCTGGGGAACGGGCACCAAACTGAACCATCAAGGTCAAGAAAGTAAAAGAGGGGGCACTAGGGAGGTTGAAGGTGTAGGAGAAATGGGGATAAGAATATGGTCCAAGTATATCATATGCATGTATGCAAGGTCATGAAGAAACCCCTTACTATGTACACTTTAATATATGCAAAAGACAAAAAAGATAAGCTCTGTGAGTGGAAGTTTCCAGGGAGTCCAGGTGGGATCACAATAATTCCTGAGTGGGGGGTTGGGGAGCTCCCTGTCCCTCTGGGCCTCCTGAGGAGGCTGGGCTGCTGGTTTTTCAAGGCTACTGTGGATCTGGGAGAAGGGCAATGGGGTGGAACTACCACAAAACTTTTTTCTCACTGGAATGAAGCTGCTTTTCTTCAATAAATGCTCCTCAGATTGTTACAAGCCCTTATTTAATTTCCAGACTTCTGAAAGAGTCGATTTCAATCATTTTGGCCAGCATTCTCATTGCTTTCACAGAGGGGCAGAGCTCCAGAAGGCCTTATACTGTCATTTCTCTGGATGCTGGAATGCACTCCTCCGGAGTGGGGGTTTGAACACCACACGGTGTGAAGTTAGAGCTCTTGGGCTCCTAGGCCATGTCTGGCATCCTGGTCAGGTGGGCAGGGTTGGGACATTCAGCCTTGAAGGAGTCCTCAGGAAGCTGTTTTGTGTCTTTCTAGGCTCTTCTGAAGAGAGGGAAGCCATGAACCATGCCCACTCTTTCCTCAGTTTTGAGAACTTTCACAAATTTGCACCAGTGGATTTCGCTCATTTATCCATCCGGGAAGATACTGTGCAGCTGGGAAAACCTATAATTATAACTTTAGTTATAGAGAGGAAGATTTCTGTCTCACAGCACATCACCGTTAGGGCCTCCATGGACCTACAGACATACACGGGCAGGGATGTGGCTCATCTGGGCACCTTGGACACAAAAATATACGCTGAAAAGAAAGGTAGGTTCCAGAACCAGGGCCAGAGAAGCCTTGGGCCCCAAGAGAGACCAGGTTCTCCAACACTTGACAGCCCTCTCTTCCATGTCCTGACATTGTGCATGAACAACCACAGACATCTATTGAATCCCTTTTGGTAGTAACAAGGAATTCAGGCAGAGAAATGTGGACCAAAGAGACCCAGTAGACCGGGGTCTACCACAGACTCACAGGTTAGGGGTATATACCATTTAAAGTATTTTCTGATGGTGGTGACTTATCTCAAATGCCCCCTCTCAGTAGTGGGTTGTGGGTATGCTGACAATGAGTAGGCTATCCTGACAGCTGGTAAGGCCTGTCATGGGCTCGGGATGGAACCTGAAGATCTCGGCTAATTAATTCCATTTGGAGACCAGCTGCTTGTTTCCTAGAGGCCAGGAGATGCCCAAAGTTAACCTGCTCAGTCCACCCAGAGTGAATCGAAATCTGTGCTTGACAACAACTCACCATTCCCTTCTTCCCTGCTTTCACAGTAACAGAGGTGGTTTTCACCTTGGACCCAGAGAAATATATCAACAGCCTGGGCGTGGTTGATGATGAGGTGGTAATCAAAGCATTTGTTATTGTGGAAAATAAGAGCACTGAAGAACTGAAAGGCATTGAGGCGACCCTGTGTTTCCTGTACCCTGACTTCACTATAGAGGTGAGCAGCCTGCAGGCCAGAAGGGCTTCCTGCCCAGAACTTGGCTTTTGAGTGGGGTGGAGGTCCCTGGTTGGCTTGTCTTCAGGCCAGTTGTGTCCCTAAGAAAAACTGGTACCTTGTTTTTCAAACAGGTATTTCTGGAACAGTGAAATATATGTAAAGCATTTCTCTTTTTTCAGTTTTTAGTCAACTGAATTTTAAAAGTTTTAGTTTTTAAAATGAGTACTACTTATACATAGTACAAAATTCTAAAAGATGAAAAAGGAACAGTGAAGTTTCTTTCCTGCCCTCTCCCATTCTCTTAAGTGCCTCTTTCCAGAAGCCTTTTGTGTTGTCAGTTTCTTGTGTATTCATCTAGAAGTTTTGGATATACAGTGCAAGGCCTGCCACAGGTATCAGGTGACTGTTTTCCACAGCCATGGCAGGGTGAGGTAAAACTGGGTACCAGACTGTTCTGGGCCTGACTGGGAGGTTTCCTCCCTTGAAGAAGTAGCCCCTTTTTGAAGACGCAATGCCAGTTTCCCAAAGAGGCTGCCCCTCAGCCCTCTGGTGACCTGTGAAGGCTGCCATCACGAAGCCCTCCCCACCAGGTTGCTGTGGATGTCTAGGTGGACCCAGACCCTCACTTTGGCAGGTGTGTCACACATGCTGACTGCATAGGCTGAGAATGAGCTCCTTTTACAAGATGACTGTGGCATTCCCATCAAGGTGTGGCTGAGGGCCAAGAAGAAAGAGTAGAGAGCAGGATGTTAGTTATGGTCTCGGCCTCATCTGTTGGTCGCACACTTACCTTGCTCTCAGACACGCTTTCTCCACTCAGTGAAACAGAGTCCACAAACTTATCGGGGCCTGCTCTCCTGTTAGGCAGCTGGGGTCCATTTGTCATTCCTGAAACATCCAGAGTTTCTTTCCAGCTGGACACCGGGCACCAGAAACTGGTGGCTCACAGCTGTAATCCTAGCTACTCAGGAGGCAGAGATCAGGAGGATTGAGGTTTGAAGCCAACCCCTAGCAAATAGTTTGCAAGACTATCTCAAAAATACCCAACACCAAAAAAGGGCTGGTGGAGTGGCTCAAGTAGTAGAGTGCCTGCTTAGCAAGTGTGAGGCCCTGAGTTCAAACTCCTGTACCACCCCTCAATAAAAAGTTTCTTTCCAGCCAGGCTCAGTGGTATATACCTGTAATCCCAGCTACTTGGGAGCTAGGGATCAGGAGGATCTTGGTTTGAGGGCAAAAAGTTAGTGAGACCCCTCTCAAGCAATAAAAGCTGGCTGTGGTGGTTCATGCCTCTCATCCTAACTACTGGATAGCCTTAGGAGGATCACAGCCCCAGGCCAGCCCTGGACAAAAATGTCAGATCTTACCTGAAAAATAACTGAAGTGGGAAAAGGGTTGGGCGTGGCTCAAGTGGTAGAGCAACTGACTAGCAAGACCAAAGCTCTGAGTTCAAACCCCAGTATCACACACACACACACACACAAAAATTTCTTTCTGGGATCTCATCACCATCCTTGCCCAAGTGGCTTAGCAGAGTAGTTCTTCTCAGTTCCTGAGAGGAGTCAGGGAGAAGGTACGTCCTTGTGGCCAGTATGTTTCAGGGGATGTTTGGGATACCTTTTAAGCAGGACTCTAGTTTTGGCTGGCTGCCCCACCCTTAAACACGCCCTGACAGTGTTTGAGGAATTACGTTTTTAGTTAATGCATCTATATTGCCAGTGGGGTGGAGAGGGGAGTGAGAGCGGGCATTGATTGGGAGAGCTTGATGTTTGGATGAAAATCATAGAACAAGATCAAGCCTGGAATATCAAGCTTGCAGTGGGGTCTCTGGACAGGGTACAGCCAGGGCCATCTGGGGCAGGGGGAGTGGGTACAAGTCTTCAGTGCTTTGGTTCTGAACAGATGAGCAGCAGTTGTATTTTGAAGGAGAAGACAGACAGCTTTGCTTCATTTCTGTTTCTTCCTCTGGGCTGCTCTGTGAGAAACTTGGTGTCTGGGGTCTTGCTGACAATGGAGTCCTGGTCTGCACATGTAGTGGACTTGGGAAAGGAGCTTTGTTTCCAGGACTCCCCTGGGGAGGCCCCTTTGCACCCATCCTTCCTGCTGGCAGGAGTCTGAGGACCACAGGCTGAAGCTAGACTGTGTGGTGCAGAAAGGTCTCTGTTTTTGTAAAGAGGAATCTTGATTATGGATTCAGAATGTAGCAAGGCTAGGTCCTCAGGCTGGCATAGTATTGTACATTTTGAATTCCTTAAAAATACGTCTGACATCTGAGTATGGTGGCACATGTGTGTAATCCTGGCACTTGAGAGTCTGGGGTAGAAGATCAACCGCTCAAGGCCAGCCTGGGCTTCACAGAGTTCCAGGCCAAGCTAGGCCATACAGTGAGAACTTGTCTCAAAAAACAAAACAAACAGGACTGGTAGAGTGGCTCAAGTGGTGCAGCACCTGCCTAGCAACTGTGAGGCCTTGAGTTCAAACCCCACTACGACCAACTCTCCCCACCCCACCAGAAAAAAAACCCAAAAAACCAGACAAACAAAAAGCCTGACAAAGCTCAGGATATAAAGTTGTTCTCACAGAGCTGAGAGGTGCAATGAGGGAAAGGCATAAATGACATAGACTCTCCACTGGAACCTGCCGACACCTTGATTTCAGAGATCTGACATTTTAATAGAATATTCTGTCCTGAGAACTCAGGTGGTAGTTCTTTTCTCAGCTTTGGTTTGTCATGGAAACGTGTACATGACTCATAGCTGAGTCTCCCTCTTTCCTGTCCACTCTGCTACAGATGCCCGACACAGGCAGACTTGGGCAGGAGCTTCCGTGCATTTGTATCTTCAAGAACTCCCTGACCATTCCTCTGACTGACATCAGGTTCTCTGTGGAGAGCCTGGGCATGGCTTCACTGCAGACCTTTGATAAAGGGTGAGTAGCCTGAGCTGTTCTTACAAACTGTCTGTACACATATCTTGCATGTGTGCAGTATTTCTGAGCTATGAACTCCTAGTATGGGGTTATAGTCAAAATGTACATACATTTTACTATGTGCTACATTGCTTCCAGAAGATTCCACTGGCTTATGCTCCACCAACAGATCTTTCGATTCTTGCAAACCTAATGATTAAGTCATCTGTTTTAATTTGCAGTTCTATCTGTGAGTCATTATTTCTTATGTTAACTGTCTCTCATGAATCACCAGCTCATTCTTCATCCATTTTTCTAACTCATTTATTTTTTCATATTAATTTGAGTGTAGTCTTTACTCAGTAAAGAGTGCTGGGCTACAAACTGTTAATCACAGTCCGAACTTTCTGTACTTTTGTTTTTCCTTTTCTGGGGTGTGTATGTGTGTGTGTTGGGGATGAAGCCAGGGCCCTGTGTATGCTAGGCCCCAACCCCCAGCCCTGGGTTTTTTTCCCTTGGCGGTACTGGGCTTTGAACTCAGGGCTTCATGTTTGCTAGGCATGCATTTTAACACCTGAGCTACTCCACCAGCTCACCATGAGAACTTTGAAAACTTTGGCAAAGTAAAATTTTAATATTTTCCTTTATGGATACCGAGTTTCATGTCGCTCCAAGAATATAGAAATATTCTGTGCTTTTTCTAGAATTTCTGGCTTTATCTCTACAATTAGGTATTTATCTGAATTTTACTTTTTAGGTGTAGAATAATGTAGAGCTCTGACTTTGTCAAATAACCTATAACTTTGAAATACTTCCTTTATTATTAATAAATTCACATATGTACCTGAGTCTCTGGACTCTGATTTACTATTTCATTTGCCTTCTCCTAATGTAATATCATGCCATTTAAATTACTGTAGTTCTATAGTATATAATGATAGGTAACAGGCAACTCCTCCCCTCATTTTCCTCATACCTAGAGCTTTTGCAATCATTTGTTTAATCACTTAAAGCCTAGTGAGATTTTTTTTTTTGTGGGACTGGGGTTTGAAGCAGGCGCTGTACCACTTGAGCCACACCTCCAGTCTGTTTTGCTCTGGTTACTTAGGAGATGGGATCTTGGGAACTGCGATCCTCCCCACCTCAGCCTCCCAAGTTGCTAGGATTACAGGTGTGAACCACCGGCATCTGACTCTATTGGGATTTAAATTGTAAGACTGTACTGCCTTGTGCCAACAGACACCCCTGGAACTTCCCCTGTAGGAATATGGTACACTATTCCATTTGTTCAGGTTATCTCTATGACTTTTAGAAAAGCTTTCTTTATATGTATCTTGCACTTTGCTACTTGGATTGATTCCCAGTATCTTATAGCCTTTGTGGTTGGGACATTGCCCACTGTATTTTCTAATTGTTTGCTGGACTGCGTAGGAATTAGTGATTTTGGTATGTTGATATAGCCAGTGACGGACCTTGTTCCTGAGAGGTTTCTAATGGTATATTTCTTATACAGTATCTACATCTTGTAAGTAAAAACCAGTGGACTCCCGTTTCCCTTAGTCCAAGGCTCCTTAAGCCTTACTGGGCACACAAACTACCTGGAAATGTGCTGACGTACACACTATGACTCAGCAGGTGGTGTGGGGCTCCAGATGGGATGCTTCTAACAAGTTCCTAGGTGATGTCAGGTTTGTGGATCTGGACCACACTGAATAACTAGTGAGGGGTCAGACAATTCCTTCCATGCGGATTCATTCTAAAGCAGTGTTCCTCAGGCCCAAGGCGGGTTTGTGAAATAGCAGAGCTGGAAGATCCCCTGCAAACCAGCTGGTTCAGTCATATTGCTTTACATCTGAGAAAACCAACAGCACCCAGGAGGGTGCAGCCCCAGGGCACTGTGCCTGGAGGGCCTGGACTTTTCCATGATGCTGAACCAGGGCTGGGGCCCCTGGCTCCTTACCCAACTCATCTCCTTATCCTCGTGGCATCCTTGACTGATTGCATGTCTCTGTATCTTTGAATTTTCTAGGACGTTGCAGCCTAACATGACCCTCCAATTCCAAATAAAATGCATCCCAGTGAAAACTGGACCCAGGAAATTTATCATCAAGTTCACTTCCAAACAAGTGAAGGAGATTCATGCTGAGAAGGTTGTTCTCATCACCAAGTAGCCTCTGCCCCATGCATCGGAAACAGGCAAGAGCCCTGATTGGCTCTGAGCCTTGGATGAGCATTTTAGTATTTCTTACTTTGCACTTAGCTTCAGATCACAAATGATTAGATTTGATTACTCATGTGAGGGGGCTGGTGGAGTGGCTCAAGTGGAAGAGTGCTTACCTAGCCAGCAAGAGGCCCTGATCCCATTCCGACAACAACAACAACAACAAAAACCCAAAAAAGAAAACTCATGATTACTCATGTGAGAGTAGATTCAAGAGCCAGCCAGGCAAAGGATGAGGAGACTAACGCAGGGCCAAGTGTGGTGGTATGCACCTGTAATTTCAGCTACTTGGGAGGTGTAGGTAGGAGGTCCATGGGCCAAGGCTGGCTGTGGCAAAAATGTGAGACCCTACTATAGCCAAAAAAAAAAAAGCAAAAAGGACTGGAGGCATGGCTTAAGTGGTAGAGTGCCTGCCTAGCAAGTGCAGGACCTTGAGTTCAAACCCCAGTAACACCAAAATAAATAAATAAACAAACAAAAAAGGCCAATGCAATCCCAGGCATCCAGACCCACTAGATCAGATTGCCTCTTTTTCAGCTTGGGACACCCAGCCTAGGCCACAAACACCACCACCTTCATCCCTGAGTCCTAGCGTCAAAAAGGCAGTGCCAATGTCTCCTAGATTCAGAACCATAACACCTGAAGCCACTGATTCTCTCCCTGGAGCCACGGGCTATGAGAAGCCCAGAGCTGCTACTCAGTGGGCTGAAAGTGCCACCACTGGTAGGCCACAAGTTCACAGGTGCTGGAGGCACTTGCCAGCTGGATTGCTCTGTCATCATTGGATTGGGCCTACTAGTGGACGCTAAAGGCAGGGCTGGCAGGCCCCATAGGAAGGAAACCACCCTGGAGATGGCCCCCGGCTGGATGCCAAGGTTCCCTGTTGCAAGACTCTGTCCGCTCAGCCAGGGAAGGGTGGCCTCTCTCAGAAGCTGGCCCTGAGCAGGTGGGGAAGGTTAGGGGAGGGAGACTGTGCTGCCTGCATCCTCTCCCTTGGACAGGGGTCTGCTGTAAGGGCACATCACCCTGGAGAAGAGGTCCTGCCCTTCTCTCCTAACAGACTACCTTCTTCCTTGTTTTGCCCTTCAGAGATTTGCTCGAATCATAAGCATGCTTCTAATTAAACTCTGATGACTTCAAGATGACTGTGTACTCCTGAGTCACTTTTTCCTTTATGCCAACAAGTTACTTAAAGCAGCCTGTCCTGGGTGTCACGTGGTCACATGGACATCATCACATCCTCAACTTCTCAGGTCCTGGGTGCTCTTTTCAGGGGTTGGCCTATTTGGAGCCCTGTCCAGGACCTCCAGCCTCTATCGGTTGCTAACTCTAAGTGGACACACATCCAGGCAGAGGCACATGTGTAGGCCGAATAAGGGTTATTTTGTGTGAATACAGAGGTCATTAAGGGGTGAGATAGGTGTCATCTTCCCCTTTTCAGGCACGTGGAGTTTAGAAACCTCAATCCTCCTCCCTCTCTTCCCAGTGCCCACCACTTGGCATCCCGTAGGTGTTAAGACAGTGCTTGCTGGATGAAAAATGATGTTTTCCTGTGCTGGAATTATCATGCGCCAGCACACAGAAGAATATCTGATTAGTAATCCAAGGTGTGGTGTTCAGATCAAGAGGTGACAAAGCCCCACGAAGCCATTGCTGGTACCTGTAGGACACTTAATTTGTCTTGCACACTGGAAATAGAAGAAAAATGGCTTTCTGAGAGATGACCTCAAGGTGACCAGAGAGGAAGAACACTGCCCAGGGGTTTGGACTGGGAACTCCTGTTGCAACCAGGAAACTAGTCACAGAGTTGAGCAATGAGCTTTTTATTCAAAGAAAGAGGCCTGGTTAGCACCAAGCCTCCCTCCCTGAAAGACGGAGTCCTGTTTGACATCAGTTACAATGCTTTCAGCTTGAGGCTAAGCAGATCTTGTGTCAGTAGCCACCGTAGAGAGAAGGCCACTGCGTCACTGGTGTGGAGCACAGGTTTCTGCCTGTATAACCCTGGCTATGGCCTGGTACAGCACGTCCTGGATGGGGACTGAGGTGCTGAGGTCTAGCATTGGGATAGAGTTAGTGAGGATGGATGGACCGGGTCTGAGTCTGTGGAGGTAAACACCTGCCCATCCCAATCTCCCTTTCTAGAGCAACCACTCTGGCTTGGGGGCTGGGAAGTAGCTTTGCCTCCTAGCCCTAAGGAGGAAAAGCTCCACCCCAACGTGTGATGACAGTCTTAAGGGCTATGTGGTTTTGCATATGCCTTGTCCTTAGGCCTGAACTCAGCAAAGGGTGGCCACAGGCCCTCTCCCCTTATTGTCACTGCTCTTTCTTGGGACCCCCAGTGATCAGCACTGCTTCCTCCCTGGATTACTTCTGGGTTAGGACAACAAATGTGGGCCCATGGCTACAGGACAGCTCTCTCTAAAGTAGGGTCAAGTCTGTCCACACTGCTAGTCAACTGGCTTTACTGCTGACAAGGGCTCCTTACGTAGGCATTGATATTAAAGCTGACTTGCACAGGAAAACTGGCCTGAAGCCTGGGTGTGGAAGGCCCCACACCTTTCTAGTTGCTGTGCTATGCTAGAGCCTTGCCATTGCCCCTGTCATGGGGCATAAACTGCAGAGCTCTGAGCAAGGGTTAGGACAGGTGGCCTTATGAGCAGGGGCCCTTCCAAGTGATTGACCACAAACACTGTGGGGCATCAGCTGCAGATCACTACCCAGAGGGAGTATCTCAGGAGGCTGTCCAAGAACATGTCCCACGGTCACCACAGCTGTCCTTTCAGTGTCCTGAGATGGTGCCTCCAAACACTGACTTTCTTCCCCACATAAAGGGCTACAGGTTCCTTTGGGCCAGGACTTAGGCTTTTTCACCTAGAGTGGGGAGAAGGGCCCTCACAGAGACCCTGCCTAGGCAGGCTTTGCCAGCATTGTGCCAGCCAAGACTGGGGAACAGGTCAAAAAGCACAAAGGCCTGAACTGGGGAGCTGAGGAACAGTCACGTCATTCCTAACTGACTGGGGTGTGGGCCTTCAGTTAGACTGAAAGAGATGCTTCATTGACCACTGATGCGAAGGTGAGAAGCACAGAACCTTCCCAGACATTCAGTAGTAGCCAGACACCCCAGGCTTCCGAGGGGCAGACTGGGTCCAGGCTCATCCTGGTAGAGGGTGGGGGTGTCTTATGTCTTCCTGGTCCATGAATCTGCAGGCTCTGCCCATCATTCTTTCTGAGAGACAAGACAGGCACCATCTTGGGAGAACTGCTCTAAAACACGCAGGCTTTCTAGTCAGTTCTGTTCATGTGTGTACTAGACTCTATGACAGATAGTTAAGTTACCCTGGGGGAGGTTAGAGTCCTCAGTAGCTCTAAACAGATCTCCCCCATCTTGCCTGTGAATGGATAGCCTTGTGGCCACAGGCAGGGTGGTTCCAAGCTGTATCAGTGAAGAGTAGTGTCTATGGAATGGGAGCTAATTTGGGGGGCTACTGTCCTACCTTGAGCTTATTTCCATTCTGGACAGGTCCCTCATGTGTGTGAGGGTTCTCTCTCAAACCAAGCCTGGACCACTGGAGGCAGATGTGACAGCCATGTCTTTCTCCTAATTTAGGCACGCAGCAGAGGAAGCCCTTTCCCAACTGCTCTCCCAGTGTCCTTCCCCAGGTCCCAAGGCCAGCCCTGCCCTGCCCTTTCATCACACTGTCACAACCTGAATTCTCAATAGCCAGGAGCCAGGGCCCTAACCTTCCCAGAAGACAGGCTCCCTAGGAAGGCCAGAAGCCAGCTTTCTTCTGTCCCTGGGCTGCCTCAGTCTCAGCTTCCTTTGCTGGGCAGAGGCTATGAAAGCTGGCAGCCTCAGAGACTGGGTCCTAATATCCTTCCTGGTATACTCAACTCAGGTGAGCTCAGATGAAGTCCTGGCCCAACATGGAGAGGGAAGATGGGTTTTAGGGGATGGTGAGACCAAGGGAGTGGTCTGGGGAAGCATGAGGGACTGCTGGGGTGTGCGTTTACCAAAACCCAGTACAAAGGCTGGCAACCACTCTTTCCCAAACCAGCACTTATTCATCTGTCACCTCCACAGAGTCCTTTGTCTCTTCTGATTGGCCCTCTGTCGTTTCAATGTTGTCCATGTCTGACAATGATGACGCCTGCCGCACTAAGTCCTTGTGAATGGGTGTCTCTGGCTGACATGGTCGGGAGAAAGGGTTGAACCAGTTCAGGGAAAAGTTCCCACCAAAAGTCTCTTTTACCGTATTCCAGCTGCCCGTGCGCTCTCTGGGCTGGTTCTTTCGTTTCAGGCGCTCAATGCCCTGGAGGAGAACGGGACAGAGGATCAGCATGGTACAGGCCGTGCCACATGCACACACCCTCTGCCCTGACAGCACAGGGTGGGGTCCCGGCTCTGGAAGATGAGGTCTGCTGCAGCCCAGGTGACCCTGGGAGACCCCTCCGGGATGCTGGGGCGTGGAGGGAGCGGTGTGCAGCATAGCAAGTGAGACATGCCCGCCACCCTGAGCCTCTTCCTCCCATAGACACAAGGCCAGGTGCAAGAGGCCAGGGGTGAGGATCACCGTCCTTGCCTCTTCCAGGCATGAGCCGGGCCACCCACTAAGACAGGTGGCCTCTCCCTCATGATAGGAGCAGCAAGCTTGGCATGAGGAAGGCTGATGGGACAAGGGCTGAGGCCAGGACTCAAACAACATGCAGAAGCAGGTGCCAGCATGCAGTGGGCAGCTGGGAGGAGCACAGGGCCAATGTGGGGTGGCGAGGGCTACCATCGGGTCTGCTCGTGCAGTGGACACTCCTTGTGGCCTCTCTTAAGCTGCCACTCACCTGCCTCTGGGTGTTGGCTGCGACTTGGCCACCAGGCCACAGAAAGAGGGTTGTTGGGGTAGGGAAGAAGTCCAAAGTAGTTACAGTCACAGCCAGGCCAGCTCTCCAGGCAACACAACTCCTGCACAGAAGCTTTGACCTCCAGTGTGGCCTCTGCTTTCTCCACCTCTCTGGGAAGCCCAGGGAATTTGCTGAGCTCACCAGACATGGCTGTGCTAGTCACACGACTTAGGACCACCACAGAAAGGTCTCTGTGCTTCTAATTTTAGGTGTTCTCTCCCACTCAAGATCCTTACAAGACTGGCACAATCCTTTGTTATGCAGAAAGAAAAACTGAGGCACACATAGTCTGTGACCGTTCCCTGTGACACCATCTCAGAGACTAAAGTTTCTTGACTTTTGAAAAAAAAAAAAAAAAGTCTAAGTTAAAGAATCTGACTTCAAGGTATTTAAGAGCCTAATTAGTTACCAAGGGGAAAACAGTATCTTTACAGTAAGGGCATT